GACTGTTAGGAAAGAGTAAAAAAGATCAGATATAAACTCTATGGAAAACAGGGAATTTCCTCTTAGTAAAGGTAACAAATTGAAGACAGGTAAAAACAAACAGATCACTAAAGCAAATGTGGCATGGCACAGAAGGTACATAGAGTGATTTGGAGCCCAAGAATGTCCAGGAGAACATCTGAGCATCAACCCACAGAAAAGGAAGACATTATCTTTGAATAAAAAGAATTCATTTGAGACAATGGGTCAAATTCATTCCTAATGTAACTCCACCAATCTCAGTGCTAGTAAATCAAGGGAAGTATTTGGCCTACTGATTTCAGTGTTCAGAATAAAAAGGGAAGCATTATACCTCTCACATATGATTTTGCTGGGCAAATAGCCAATAAACTGATTAGTGCATTCTAACCACAGAAATGATTATTTTAATACACATGTTGTGAAACAAAGGGAAAAATGACTTAATCATTTAATTAAGTAACACTTGTTCCCATTTTAACATTTGAACAATACATGCAGCCAACTTACAAAATACATACAAGTGTGGATGAGGATCCAAAATGATACTCATCATCAACTGTTAATGTTATGGTTAAAGCAAATGGACAGAATGATGTTTCTTCACTCTTTGATAGGAAATGAGACTATAATGTCACTGACAGCTCAATAAAATTGTTTTCCAACATGTAAGGGCTTAATGACAGCTCATTTCAGCCCAGGTAGTGAAGCAAATATGTTAACAGCAAATGCCAGGTCATTATAAGGAAACAGAAATATGCACTTTGGTTATCTATAGATTTTTTTTTCCTCCATACTCTCCATATCTCACCCTGACACTCATGATTCAAGTGATGGAATGTCAATAAGCTATTTATGGCAAAGTTACCACATTTAAAACCACACAATAAGAGGAAGCCCATTTGGTCTGCACACAATTTTGAGATGAAGAAAGAAAAAGATTTTAAAATAACATATGCCTCTAAAAAGAAAAGTTTTCGTTCATTGAGAACCCTGCTACCAAGAATGCTAATTGAGAATTCTCTACATCCCAGGCCACTACACTGGGGCCCAACCTACAGACGCACTTGCCAGGAAAGATGACACCAATGCCAAAACTAAATCTTTTGAGAGTAAAATAAAAAATAAGACAATTAAGCCTTTCTTCAAGAACACAACCCATGGGGAACAGACAATGGAATGACAAAATAAAAACAAAAGAGAGAGGTAAAACAAAACTATTTTTGATCTTTTATCTAGAGATGTTAAAATGTTTATTTTCACAAATGTGTAACAGCTGAAATTTCATGGGTAAGGCCCACTTCATCAGATAACTTGGAATGGAAATAATCTAAGATGTATACAACAGCAAAAGAAGTACCTGTCAAGTGTAGGACCCGTGTTAATGAAGCTAATTAATAAATGGGATATGTCCCATTCATAGCTTTTGATATGAAAACAGAGAAGCCAACAGCAGGGGAAATTGCTTTATACTGTGTTAACCAGTTAACCTCTTTATTCAAGCCCAGGGTAACAGTCTCATATTTGTAGATAAATTCCAGTTCTGCTGTCTCTCTCTGTAATTGGGTGGTGACACTCCTTTGTAGAAGAATGGCTACTTTTAAATCCATGACTGAGTAGCCAGGTAGGATAAAATGTTCCCCTCTGGTTTATGTGTATTAATATTTCTGATGTCTTATTTGTATCTACTTATCCTCTCTCAAAGAGACCGTCTGGTTTGGCCAATATATATATGGCAGAGGGGCATTGCTGGCACTCGGTGGCATATATCACATAATATTTACGTTTTTTTATTCTATTAAAACAATTAAGCATCAGCAATAGCACTATTGCCATATGCAGTAATTTACAAATAATATGGAAAGACTTGTTCCACTGATCTTACATTCCACATCAAGTGAGATAAATTAAAAAGGTTCAACTATTTGTATAGTATCAGAGGTTTTCACATGACTGTGTATCAGACATAAATATGGCCCTTGCCTTAAAAATATTATTATTTATCCAAATTAAATGCATACCAGCATCTACATATGAGGTGTGAGAGAGGGGTCAACAGAGTAAACTGAGCAGCAAAGGACAGAGTAGTAGCTTTTAAAATAAAATGTAAAGGACAGTGAGCATTACTTAGTACCCGAGAATGCAGCAGATTGTCCATTGCCACACATTTAAATAGTCTGCATTTACTTTTATCATCATTTGAAAAATGGCCAAGGAGACATCTGACACAGAATTCAGAGAGTTGACTTCTATACCCAAGCACGAAATCTGTGCCACGGACAATTGGACAGGCTGCCTCTATATGCAAGGCACCCATACAGCACAGAACCATCCCAAGTTCCACACAATGGTGCCTTCACCACCAGAAGGCAGTGAGAATCTCTGAATGAAGACCCACAAGAAAAAAAACTGCTTAATTTCTTTTTAAGATCATTCCATTCCCTCTCTTCCTAACAAGCAATGCTTGTGTTGCGTCTTCCCCTGACACTACACGTGAAACAAATTCTCGACCTCTAGCCAGTAAATATAAAATTAGCCAACAATGAGTTCTTGATTGTTTCACCAAGCATATGGGGCTGATACAATCTTGGCTAAGTTAATTCTAAGAAAGAAAAGTGACATTTCTGAAAAATAGCCTGTTTTTTAAAATTTGTGATAAGGAAAGCTTCAGTGTTCAGAATTTCCTGAAAAAAAATAGGCCTTTTTTCACTTGCAAGCATCAAGTTTTGTTTTATTTTTTGTACACAGGAAACAATGTCTGTCTCTCTCTCTCTCAACAAGATAAATAAATGAATTACAGAACCAAGTAACAGAGACAAGAAGCCATGCAAAACACCCTCCAAAGCTCTGTTCAGCTACGGCTGTAGTTCTCAACTGGTGGTCCATGGCGACTTTTTCGGTGGTCCACAGGAACATTGTCCAAAGTCACATGGCGTGAGCAGGCACCACCATTAGGCTGTTTTATGCCGTGTTCACAAGCACGCGGCACATCATCCATAGCGTCACCTGCTGGAGGAATTCTTGGATCTGAAAAATGATTTTGCGACTCAAGACGTGTATCAGCAGTCTACCATAGAGAAAGTTTGGGCCAAGATGACCGGGAGTTACCCAAATCTGTCAGCACACGCAGTCAGATTTCTTTTGCCATTTGCATCAACTTACATGTGTGAAACTGGATTTTTGTGTCTGTTGCACGTTAAGTCCAAACAGAGGAATCGGTTTGCAGTGGAAAGTGATATTTGTTGTGCATTATCAAGTACCACTACAAACATTGAAAAGCTTGTCAGTGTGAAGAGAATCCAAAAATCTGTTAGTAATAAATAAATTTCAAACAAAAATGTTCCTTGTCTGCTCTTTTTTTAACCATGTCTCAAAAAGGAGGTGGTCCACGAAAATTTTTTGATTGGCCTAGTGGTCCATGGACCGAAACGAGTTGAGAACCACTGAGCTAGGGTAACAGCAACCTCTTGGCCTGTGCAAGTTTGAACAATTTACTCTAATTTGCCATGTGTGTTACACAGATTGAACATTTAAAATATTTGAACATTTAAAATATTTCAGCTGTACTTTAATCTTCTCAGACATGAGCTGACTGTCTTTTAACAGTTCTCAGAAAATGAAAGTCTCCATGATTATTTTTGAAGATTATTCACATACCTATTTCCACACAAATGAACAATTCCATTGATTTCAATGGGAATGATCATATGAGTGAAGTTTAACCAAATACATTAGTTTGCAAGATAAAGTCTTTTTTTTTTTCAAGCTGAAAAAATCCAAATCTATTGGTTCTTTGGTTATGCCCCCCCAAAAATTTTTTTTTAGCAAAATGGAGCTTTCAAGCCTCAAACAATTATCATGGGGATTTCTTTCTGAGAACTACAAAGGCAGACACAGTGATTGATGTGGGAAGCTACAAATCCAACAATTTGAAATGGACAACAATCTAAGATGTCAATTTTCAGAGAAAAATAAACTGCAATATTTCACAACGAAGATGTCATCAGAGAGGTTTTAAATATAATCTCTGATGAAATACAGTTCTTCAATACAGACTTTTTCAATAAGCTGGCATTGAACTTTAGGGACTAACCATGAAAATTACACGCACACACATGCTATTTCAGACTCCAGTATAAATAAAATGAAAAAAATTATATCTTGGAAAGACAGTAGGACTGTTCTAAGTTTTCTGGAGTGATGGACCCTGGCTTCACCCCTTGGCCTGCCCCCACTTCATCCCTTCCACCAACCCATTTCTTCCTGCCCTGCCCCATTCTGCCCTCTCTCCTGAATATGTCCTGCTCTCAACTCCTCCTCCTAATCCCTCAGTACCTCCTGCAAGCCACAGAGTAGTTCATCATGGCAAGCAGGAGGTGCTGGAAGGTAAAGGAAGGAACTGATTGGTGGGGCCTGCCAGTAGGTGGGAAGCGCTCAGGGAGGAGCTAATTGGGGGGGTGGAGGTGGGAGGAGAGTCAGCATCCTCTTTTTTTTCCCCCATGGGTGCTTTAGCCTCGGATCTCCCATAGAGTTGGTGCCTATGTCTTTTGAAAATTTAGTATCAGTCAAGATTACAGTCGATAATACTGTTAATGTATCTTCAATTATCACAAAGTATAAAATAATTCAATATAACAATCGAACCTGATCTCCAAACCCATAAATATAGAAAATGAACCAGATTCTTAGTAAAGATATTTGAACACTCTCCCCGCATAAAGGTTTTTGCCCAATAAGCGACATCCTAGTAACTCTAAGAAAGGACTGCATGGTTTAAAGAAGCTGCTCCTTTACGGATTGTGATATTAACAAAGCAACAAAAAGAAATCATCTGATAATCATATTTGCTAAAGAGGAAAAGTGCTATTGAAGAAACTTTCTACTTCCCTGTCTTTTACATGAGTTTACAAAAAAAAAAATGTAGGACACTGACACTTGTTTGAAAACCTTCACGTTGACATAAAAAACGTTGTTGCACTTACAAAATGTTGTGTCTTCAGGCGTTCCTCTTCTGTCACAGCTCTCTCTCTAAGAATGGCTCTAGTCAAATGCTCATTTGAAGCAGTCCGCTCCCGCTCCAGAATTTTGCCAATTTCATCACGTACATACTTTTGATCTTGTTTCAATCTACATAAAAAAGGGTTAAAGTATTTAGAATGGAAATATATTGCCAAATAGCTTGAATGGACAAACACATCATTAAAAGAGTACAGTAGTTGTGTTAAAATATTACTAGCTTTCAGAGATCACTACAGGCAGTCCGAGGGTTACGCGGATCCGACTTATGTCGGATCCGTACTTACGAACGGGGCTTTTCTCGCCCCGGAGGACGCGGGAGGCGGGACCGCCCAGACGTGCCACGGTCCCGCCACCCGCAGCTTGAATGGACAAACACATCATTAAAAGAGTACAGTAGTTGTGTTAAAATATTACTAGCTTTCAGAGATCACTACAGGCAGTCCGAGGGTTACGCGGATCCGACTTATGTCGGATCCGTACTTACGAACGGGGCTTTTCTCGCCCCGGAGGACGCGGGAGGCGGGACCGCCCAGACGTGCCACGGTCCCGCCACCCGCGTCCTCCGGGAC